ATTTTGAATGTAAGATACTAAAACCTTGTGTTATGGGCAGTAAAGAGTACCCGGGCAATAGGGTTAATACACTGATGAACCAGAACACCAAGATCCTTTCCTTCCATAACACTGTTAAAGTTATACCCATCAAAATAATTCAAATTATGATATCCCACATGCATTACTTTGCATTTATTATAATTAAAAGGCATCTGATATATAGATCCAGATCCTTTTGTAAAGAAGCAGCATTCCTTCTTACAGCCAGCAACACCCAAACTATAATATCATTAGCAAGTTTAAATAATTGAATGTCCATTCATTTATCTGTGTCATTGATGTAAATAAAAAAAGAGCAAAGGTCCTAACACTGAACCCTGAGGTACCCAACTTGTGACATTAATCCAGTTTGACTGAACTCCAATTATAACAACCCTCTGCTTTCTTCCATCCAGCCATTTTTCTATCTAATGAGCCAATGTGTTCCCCACATGCACAAAGTTAATTTTCTAACATGTCTTTTGTATGGCATTTTGTCAAATGCTTTCTGAACATTCAGATACACCAAATGCTTACCTGTAAGGACTATTTATTTGTGTTAATAAAATTTTAGTTTTGATTCAAGACTGATATCAGCTAGCTTCTGAAGAGATTCAAGTAATCATTGTCTGTAAATTACAGACTAAGTTCTTTTCAGATGTTAAATGCATGATTGAGTTAACTGTACACAAGGAAATGACTAGGGCTATGTATCACCTATCTTTAAAATTAACAAAGATCTGATAGTAAAGGTTTTTTCATCCTGCAGGTGCTAGCGACGGGGTTGAGTGGACTGTATTCAGTTTTACCTAGGAAACTTCCAGTCATGAAAGGTGATTGGTTCCACCTTACTAACGAAGATGTTCAAGAAATTCCTGAAGTTTTTATCTTCATGAATTCTTTAGAATTTTGTAACGCAGTTGTACAGGTAAGAAGACTGTACTTTCATAGCATCTCAACATTTCATTACACAGAGCTCTTTATAACAGAATATAATTTACAGCTCATCTTATGTATAGGTTTTCTGTTTCTGTACTGGAAATGATTATTAGCCCTTCTGTACAAATTGAACATTAATGGATATCCAAAAAAATTTATTGATAAGGCATTATGAAGATATGAATGTAGAGCTCATAGGAGCAATGCAAAAACATTACCATAAAAACAAAAGCAATTTCATGCAAATTTTGGTATACCATTAGTCCTAAGATTTCAGCTTGTAGTAGACAGACCTTCAGACAGTCAGATCTTAACATCAGAGTTATAGAGAAATCAAGTAAAACTTTGAACAATATGTTATTAAAATTAATCTTTAAACCCAAAACATACAATAAATCCCCAAGCAAATGTGCAGATGGTAAATCAGAGTTATAGAGAAATCAAGTAAAACATGACTGTGATTGTCCATGACTTCCTGATTTGCTTATTCAAAACTGTTTCAATGTAATACACTCAACTCTCTGAGTCATTTTGTTTTGTTTTAACTATCTTAAGCTTTTGATTTCACAATTAAATTAAGAAATGAGTGTATGTGAATTATGATTATTTTTATAAAATATATATATCTAATACTGCTATGACATTTGGAAAATGTGCTGTTGTAACATGTAACAATGTAGCTATACATACTACAACCCCGAATGTCTCAGTGTATCTTTATGAAGTTTTGCAAGTTTTTAGTAAAAACCACAAGAAATCAATTTTTTTTAAATATTTTTACAAAAGATTTGTCTGTGAATTTATAAAACCTTTACTGAATCAGCCTGAGTGAAAAGTGATTTTGATGCTCATTAGAAAAACACTTCTCTTCACTTTACAATTTTAATATTTTATGCTATAACCTCCTAAAAAACTGTAAAAACTTTATACTTGTCTCATTATATATATATTCTACCTTAACCCTAACTGTAGCAAAATCATCATTGTGTAGTGAAATGAATAAATGAAATATATGAAATAAAACATATTGTGGAGTATATAATGGACAGTTACAATTATTTATCTTAATAGTCTCAGTTGCTGATCTTTCTACATCTACTTTCCTGTAATTTTATGGTTTTATTGAACAGTGTGGATAAACAAAGAATCAGATTACATCATGTGACCTCAAACTGCATACTCTTTGGAAGGGAATATTAGGAGAATTTGTATATTTATATTTTTTCATTTAAATTTTCTTACCTAACCTAATAAGTTTGTAATTTTTACATTTTAGTTACTACTGTTAATATATGTATATGTAACAAAAAATATATACATAAAAAACAAGAAAGTTGGTACTTACTTTAGCATCTGTCTAAACCATGTCTCTATTTGCTGGACATATCTATAACCAACAGAAATATAAAATGTAAATTTAATGGCCCCTTATTTTCATTTACTTAGCTTTGGCAGATTAGAAGAAAGTGTTGTTGTGTGAAGTTATTGCTGTGAGCAGTAATGAACGTTTTTAACCTATTCATAGCTTAGTTAGAAAGCCAGATAAATTATAATATTCTATTCTATTACTTTTGAGTTAAACAGTGCATATTAGAAAGCTACATGAATATTTTTTTGGCCAACTAACAGAATGAGTAAAGAGTTACTCTCTCTCAACATGGGCTTCGTCAGTTTGACCGACCACATGACCTCTTTGTACAGTTCAAAGTCTTTGTAGATTTAATACTTCTAACTTTCAATATAGTGTGTACATCTTCACAAAATTTGACAGTCTTTCAGTTCATATTATAAGTCTTTCATGTACAAAAAATCATATTTTTTAGTAAAGTATTTTTAATAAACTAAACAAGAAGATTTGTTTTCATGTTAAGATTAAAAATACTTTTCTTCATCTCAAAAATCTCGAATTTTATTTTTTAATCTCTGAAACTTCTCAAATACATTTCAAATATTCAATTTCGATAAGGTACTCTCTCTCCTCTCACAAGAGTAGCTTTTCTCGTTTTGTGCTGCCCTCTATATGCAATTGTTTTCCAGAAATGCATGCCACAAGCCTTCATCCTCCTTTTTTAGAATTCAAAATTTCAACACGTTTTTCATGCAAATCATCATGCGTCACCTCTCCACCAATAGTAGAGCACTACTATCACGTGATGCATGTGACTCCCTCTGCACACCACTACCAAACTATCACTTCTTGTCTGGCAGCTGTCGGGTTCAGGCATTCTTTTTTACATTATTCAGTTACCTTGAAGTGGTTTATTTTTTTCATATTTTTCTTAACTTTATTTCCAACACTCCATAGTTGTGGAGTGTATATTTCAATAAAGCATTACTTCTTCGTGTTTCCCGCTTATGAATTCCGAAGTTACAGTCACCATTTCGCCAGCGTCTGATGCCGGGCGATTCGTCGGGGGATATATCATTGCTCATTCACCGGGAGATGGAGAGCCAACCTCTTTGAAGCCAGACTGTAGATGATTTTGATCGTTTGTTTCCGTACCTGGAGTTTGCCACGCCGTCCCATACACTACCTGATGATTCAGCTCGTCTGTCATTGGGCTTTTCAGATATTATTTCTCAGGTATGTGATGTTTTGTCCCTTACACCTGTTGCCTGTGGACCTTCTCTCTTACATGAAACTTCCCAACCCTAGTAAGTCTTTCTCCCATCCCCCGATATTAATGTACATGCAGACTGATTTGCCTATCAATTGGGGGAGGGCGTTAGTATGCCTCTTTCCTCACAGACTTCAGATCAGTCTGCCCTTGCTTATCATCGAGCGGACTTTCCTTTTCTCGACCAACAGTTGTTGGGAGTCAGTTCTACCTGTTTGGGAGCGGACCCAGATTACCCTGTACAACGTACCCAAGCCCAGTTTTCTCACTTTCATCTCACCCTCATGACTCTGTTAAGGTACTTTTCTCCATGCACAGCCCTTCTGATTGCTTCTTACTGGCCTGGTCAATCTTGGTTTCTTCAGTTGCTTCAACAGCAGGTGGTCCCTCCCCTTCCTCTTCCCTTCCATCCCAATCTACTCTGTCAACTCCAGTCACTGGTGCTCCATCCCATGCCGTCCATCCTCCGTCTTCATGCCTGGCTTTTGTTAGGTGCTTAGCAAGGAGTTCCAGTTTCTCTCGCAGAGTAGCTTCACATTTAGCATGTTCCATTCACCCTTCTATCAATGCAAATGGAGCATTTATCATTCCTGGACATTCACTCAGGGTTTCCAGGCTTCTCGCCCAACGATTGTTTGTATCTCCAAGTTTCTCATGTGGCTCTTTGAGAGGGGTTCTTTGGTCTCTTGGATTTCAAGATTTGGGGTAGCATTATCCCATACATTGTTTTCCTGCTTCCACATGGTTTTTGCTTCCCCTGTCCTTTCTATGGTGATCTGTTCCTTCCAGCTCCATTGGCATTGAGGCAGCCATGCTCATGGACTGGGACTTTAACATCGTTCTTTACCTCCATTTGAACTTCTGTCTGTGTGTGATCCCTGTTTCACCTCTCCTCCTGGCCTGCAGGCATTGAATGTCACATATTTTTGCCCTTGACCTTACCAGGACCTTGTACCATTTCTCCAACCTTATCTTTTAACCAGAGCATGCTTTCCTTCCCAAGACTTCTGCGGCTCGATAAGGTAAATTCTCTTTTTATCTCGTCTCTACTATTGTCCTGATCCAAATACTTCTCTTTCCTGTCCATTCCCTCCATTGTTCTGTTGCTCGCACTGCTTCCTTCCGGGGTCTTCGTTCTTGCCTTTTTATCCCTTGGCAACCTTCCTCATCCCATGATCTTTTCCCAGTTACCCTGACTACTTTGGTTCGACGTATGATCCAGTTGGCCTATTCCTCCTTGTCTCCATCCCAGCATGATCTCTTTCATCACATCAAATCTGTCACCTTACCTTTCCCTTGCCTTTTGTCTTTGCCAGCCATTGGAAGAAATTCTACAATTGGACGACTCTGCACACGTTCATCTCCCACTACCTATAATACATTCCTGTTTCTGCTTCTTCGGGGTATTGCCATGACTAGATTTAATAAATCGGTGTTGTCTGCTTTTCAAAATATGGTTTTATGATCACCAATTGCACTGTCTCAGGTGTTGCAGTCCCTCCAGACTCTCCACCACCCTTTTCCACCTTTTCTTCCAGTGAAGTATGGGAGTCCTTACCACTTACCAGTTTCAAGCTGCTGGGGTGGTTGACCATAGAGACAACCTGCTGGATGGCTGGATGGGTTCCACAAAAATGGCTATAACCTTTCAGTTCAGAGTAGGGTGATGGTGTTCTGCCAGTGTAGAGGGAGTTACAAGATCCTCTGGATGTGTGACTACTTAGCAGAGTTGAAATGCCCAAATGCAGTTCACCCCTCTGATTTGGTGCCTACCCTTGTGCAGATGTCAATACCCAGCGATCGAGGTTTTTGAGATCAAGTGAACCAATCGCATAAGTCCTCACTCAGGTTTCTGTTTGTCCATCTTCCTTTCTCGACTTGTCTTCTGGGTTGTAGGTCGCAGAAGGTATACATGGCCTGTTTCCACTTCTGTCCTGGGTTTTCCCTCATTGGGTGACGATATTGTTACTGACCTGGGGTCGTTTTGGGCTGGGTTCATGGTCGCGGTGTTTGAGTGCATGCGATGGACTTCTCTCGGATTCCAGATGACACATTCCCAGATCCCTGGCATTAGGCTACCGTGTTATTTCTTGGAGTCAATGGTTAGGTTCCCTCTTGACTCTGGGACTTGAGGTGAAAATGGTATTATCCTAATTCTATCCTCGTGAAAATGAGTGAGGTTTTGGATGTAGTTGACTTACCAAGTATGGTTCGTCACACCCTAGCCACTCTACACTATAGGACATATCCTCACTTGCCCACTTTCCATCATGGAATTGGGTGATTTTGATTTCTGTTTATGATCACATTGCTAAACTATCCTCTCCCATGCAGATGGGGCTCCCTTTAATGTTCTGACATGTCTGGTCCT